AGATCAAGAGGAGGACGTCCTAATAAACGCTTATTTTCATACGTCGATCATGATACATTTGTTAATCTTGACGAGGTAAAAATTTAGTAAACCTTTGATTGTATGATTTAATATTCATTATTACTTGCAATATTAATAATTTATAATTCCACAAAATATTATTGACATTTCAGAGTTTGATTATTTTATATAATAAAAACCTGACCCCTGTGAGGATTGGATACAGTTGGACGGTCTGCATCCACCTTGGCCTTGTCTTATTTGTCCTCTTTATACTTAACAGGAAACGCGCACCTTAACAACATCCCCAACAGAGAAGCCATCTTTTTTAGTGGARAAAATGTTAAATGTTAGAAGAAGAAACATCACCTCTAGAAGACTGGATAGAAGGTTGAAAAAATTAAAAAAATAAATAAATAAATGAATTTTGTTGCTTTCCATACCCTTAATGAAGACATGGTTGTCTACTCTTTTATATTCCCATTTGTATCTTCTAGGATCATCTTTTGTTTCATTTTTTTAAAACACCCAATTTTTTTTTCTTGTTTTGTATTTTTTTTTTAGAAATCGACCTGGTGGTTTTACACATCATGTGAACCCGGTAACGACATATGAATCAGAAGTGACCAAATCATCAGCTCATGTTCTTAGTACTCACTATAGRACAATGCACATCATGGCAGACCTTGCTGTAGATACCAAGTATGTACACTACAATAATATTAGTCCACAGTCTACGGATCTAGTACCTTTCAAAATTATTTCATCTCTGTCTCGACTTCTTTCTTGGACAAACAATGTTGCATTTCATYCTCTGAAACCCATGGGTATTATTCTGTTCAGAGTGAAGAACAAACGACAGAAGATTACCACTGGGTTCCCGAGGATGCTTGCATTTTGAGTACCAAGAATGAATAATGGATAGACCTGACTTGACCGTTGGATTTGTTCCCATTTTTGTCTGCCAATGAAGCCTTTATTTTTACTAGTATTGCAATGATTGGTTTGATCTGTTAGCCATAATTTTTCTTTAAAAAGTGAGCAATAAGCCATCTATAGCATGTAGTAAGTAAGTACGTGGTATTAATTTAGTAAGAACAGCTAGTAATGAGGTATATATTTTTTCCTGTTGATCCGGATCGAAAGGCTGAAAATGTGATAAAGATCACAAAACTCTGTATATTTTGATCCCTGATCCCCTTACAGAATCGCTGACAAAAATCATTGATCCCGATCCCAGTTGAAAAACCTTTGATCCCAGGTTAAATCCATTTGATTTGAATCCTGGGACTAAATCCTGATCGCTGATCCCAAAATATAGCCCAAAAACTGACGCTGATCCCTGATCCCTGATCCCAATACCTTCGTTACTAGCCTCCAAGAAACTTGCTGTTCATTTTACTTCCAATGTGTTACTGTTTACTTGAAATGGTTTTACTGTGTTTTGGTGAATTCATAATGAGACATTTCAAAACGTGTACATTTTTCTTCTAGTACAAGTACTGAGGCTGATGAATATACGCTTTGTTCAATCAAGGTTTGGATTATTTTAATTGATAATATTGTAAATTATAATATTTCTTAGTTTTGAGTTGTCCCCTTCTCCCTTTCATCCCTTCCTTTCGTTCAGTTTTTACATTTTTGTCTTGAGTCTCAATCTATCAAGTTTAGTCCATTACTTTGTCTTCAGTCCTCTTTTTATTCTCTTGCTTTCATTCCCATTCATTTTCCTCAAGATCATTCTCCCCTTCATTCCTATAGTTTCTTGTTCCCCTCAGTCCTAATTCTTTGTCTTCAGATCTTTTAAATGTTTCCTTTTATTAAGTGATTCCCCTCATCTCATCATTACCAACTCCTGATTTGTCTCCAGCACTGTTCATGTTTTACTAAAACTGCATTTTTTGCAATTCAGTTTGACATAAATGGACAGATATTTTTAAAACCTGACTGTAATCATGGCGAGCTTCCATATCGTATTGAGACCCACACTGATTCCAGAGGTAAGGGTTTGTTCACTAGCCAGTTTATAATATGATATCACTTTGTCTTTTTTGCCTTTTACATTGCTGACCATTATTGATTTGTTTGTGTTTTAGACGTATATGAGTATACTATAGAACATTGTTCMACACAAATGACAAGGTAATTGGTATTATAGTTGATAATGTCTGTCAAAATGCATCTACTAGATACATAATAATTTTCCATTGGGATGGAATGTTATGTCAGTGATATAAATTCAGACTTGTTCTTTTAGTGAACAGCAAGAACAAGAAATGAAAAGCTTTAATGAGGTACTGATTACACTACTGGCATTAGTTCCATGTGCATCTTTTCATTRACAATTTGTACTTCAMTTGTTTGGCTTAACTAGCCAAAGGAAAATAAATGTTGTTTTAGCTCCAGATAAGGAATAAATCTTATATTAGACTAGTGGTAATAGTTTCTTGWCCTTTTATTGTTAGCTCTATAACAGGCATGCATTGTTTCTTGTATCTCAAGTTGGAATGGATTTTGACTATGTGGTAAGCAAAATTCAATTTACTTTCAAGGTCAAATTAAATAATTAATTTTTCCAAAAGACAACACGGTAAGGCTGMAAAATATTCCCACACGAGAACCCCTTTTGCAGAAACTCTAGATTTAACTTTAACTTTCTTTAGAAGGTTTTTTCTTTAGTTGAGTGCAACATTTAATCAACATAGATGCGGAAATTTCTCAATTGTCTCTTCTGTTTTGCAGCCTGAGGCAGGAGTTCTAAAAATGGAATTACTTGGTGAAATTGGTAAGTGTGGGAAAATATCATACTGCTAGTGTTTTGATTCTAGCTCAGAGAAATGATGAATTTTGTATTTCACAAAATTTATTAAAAGATATTCTTTMTCTACATGAAGATTTATCCAATGAAAATATTGTGACATGAAAACAAGAATTTTTTCCAGAAGTCAATGATAACTCTGTTTCCCCCAAAAAGAATTTGAACAATTCAAGCATACATGTATTTCTTTCTGTTTGGACTAAACCAGTAGAAACACATCATCTAAACCTGAGAAATATAAAATAATTATATATAATTTCTATTCTCCTCTTCAACAGTGTCTGCTAAAGGATTTGATTATGATGGATTGTATATTCATTTCTTTCTTGAATTACCACAAGGTACATGTCTAATTTATATCATATCTTCAATAAAATATACTTTCTTTTCAYGATTTTCAAAGCCCACCACTTTAATGTCTTGATTTGCCATGCACATTATTTGAAGAAGGGGCTTTCAAAAAGCAACAGATAATCCCTTTTTTCCAGGGCCTCATCATTATTTTTGTGCATGATTATTCATGAATATCCAAAGTGAGCTGTTCTATTAGAGTATGTTTACTGACTGACTGACCAATAACCAATATTATCATTATGTATTGCAAGTAGCAGTGTAAAAGTATCTGATGCAGGTTTTCTTTCATTCTTTGACAATTTCAGAATGGACCTCGGATTGTGGACCATACCTTTCAGGTGTTACTCAAACTTGTTTTACCAAATGCAGTGGAAAAGTAAGTSAAAATTTCAAACCTTATTAAATGCTTTCATTTASWTTTTKKYCMARYMC